TTCACAGTGGGTCAAAAGTAGAACTTATAATAATAAATTTAATGAAATCATAAATTAAAAGAAATTACAAAATAAAGAGAATTTGGATGCATATAGCGAAAAAATCGTATATAATCGTATATAATAGATTATATGAATGTCTTCTTAAATGTTGTGTAAGTACGTCTCAAAATAAATCGATTAAACTGCTAAAATGTACTTGGTGTCTGTATAAAGACTAAATGACTAAAGACTTATTAGTTCTGAAATGTTTGGAAATGAATCCATACTTATGTATACAGTCATCATAGAGTTATTAGCAGCTTCTTATATCATAATTTTAATTAAATAAAAGAAGATAAAATTATAGAAGATGAGAAAACTTAACACTTAACCACTTCTTCTGTTATTAAAAATAAAGATAAAAAAATATTTGATTTTGTCATTGAGAAGAGCCCGTTTTTAATGGAAAATCAACTTCTAGATGTATAGTATCAGTAATTATTTAATCCCAAATTTGTTGAAACAAAAGATTATAAGATTATAATACCTGAAGATTGTGTAGGCAGTATTTCATCTTCAAGATCATAGGAGAAAGTTGCAAAATTTGGAAAGATAATGAAGTATCCGGAATAAAGAATAAAAAAAGCGCATTATGAAAATACATTGATATTACAAATCGAGAATCATATATCTTGCTAAAGCGCTGAGTTTGTCTAGATAGCATTAATTCGTAAAAACAATTCAATATTGTCGTAAAATTTCAATATATAACATCAAAGCAAATAATGAGATATTTTTATACCTTCACAAATTCAATAAGTACAAGGAGCTTGATTTATCGAGTTCGATTAAAATATCTCTAATACCTCGAAAAAGTTTCGCCTGTTGAACACATATATTTTCATGTTCATGCAGAAAATGATAGTTAGTAATATAATAAATGTAACGTGTTAGTGAAATTCAATTGCTAATAATCGATTAAATAACGAAATTATTAATTATTGCCTGAATTTAAAAGAAAAAGTTAAAGAAAAATATAAATTAAAGAGAAACTATTACATTAGCCATATCATAATGCTCACACTGTACACATTATCTATAGAAATATCTTCATATGATTGATTCCCAATAAACAATTTATTGGTATAAAATTGTAGATTTGGATATTGAAAATATTATATATGGTTTCAACAGAATCCCTATAAGTCCCACAAGCTATGAAGTTTGTTTCTAATTATTTGAGAAGCTTTTGAAAAATCGTAAATTACTTTGATATGCCTAATTTTGACGTTTTATACTAATTGAAATTAAATTTATAAAAAAATTTTTTTTTTAATTTTTTTTTTAATATTTCTGTTTAAACTCTTTTTTTTAATTTAATTTTTTAAATATAATTTTTTAAACATTTTTTTTAATAAAATTTTATAGACTCATTTGAGAGTGTTAGCCCACTGTGCGCATTCATTCCGCTTATAAAATTTTGCTCTAAAAAACGCAGTGTCGCTGGCCACTTATTTAATGGGCCATTGAAAACGCGTTAAGGCGTTTGAATTTAACACTTTTTTGGTTCCCAAGTGTGGCTCCGTACATATGAAAAAGTTAATTTAATTTTATGACAGAAAGCAGGTGTCAAAATGATGGTAATTAAAAAAATTAATTTAAATATGCCTTTAATTGACAGCAAATTAAAAGTTGTGGTAAAAGATACTAAAGGGTTCAAACAAACACTTAATAAAGGGTTAAAAAGCTTTTAGTGCAATTAAAGTTAACAAAATTAAAAATTTCAGTCTACAACATTAAATAGGACAAGAATGTATTGTTCAGTAAATAGTATTATCAGATTTCTATTAGATTAAGTAGTTAACCATCATACATTAAGACCGAAAAGTTTTCGGAAATTCTCATTTAAAATTCGCGCGCTGTATATTTTTCGATATTTTAAGTTTATGTAGTTTGGCAGCACTGTCCTTAATTACTATGCCAAAAATGAGCGCGATCTGTCAGACAGTTCGTTTACGGCAGCTGTTGAAACCAGTTCACCTCAGTAGGGCGTTGCGAAAAAAACAATGGAAAAAAATATTGAACAAAGAGTTTGCATCAAATTTTGTGTTTCGAACGAAATTTCGTGTGCAGAATCGTTGCGAATGCTACAAAAGGCTTATGGGGAATCAGTTTTATCGAAAACTCAAGTTTATGAGTGGTACAAAGCCTTCCAGGACGGTCGTACGACCGTCGAAGACATTTCGCAACGCACTACTGAGGTGAACTGGTTTCAACAGCTGCCGTAAACGAACTGTCTGACAGATCGAGCTCATTTTTGGCATAGTAATTAAGGACAGTGCTGCCAAACTACATAAACTTAAAATATCGAAAAATATACAGCGCGCGAATTTTAAATGAGAATTTCCGAAAACTTTTCAGTCTTAATGTAGAATAATTTTGGTGAGAGAAAAGTATAGCATATCTACATTATAAAATATTATCTTTATATATCAATTGAAATACACGTCTTTTGAATTTTTACATATTTATATAAATATAAATTATTTTTTTATAAATTATAAAAAGTTATTTTAAATATGTGGTAAAGATCATAAAATCTTATAAAATTATTTTTAAAAAAAATTTTGACCATAGTCAAATCCATGGTGAAATTTGAACCATAGAGTTCTGTGTAATAGACAAAGCCAAGTTAAACTTAATTTACATTCAATTACGTTCAAATTTTTCTATTTTCTCTATTTTTGTAGTCTTTTCATAAACAATTGCACTTATTGCTCTGCTTATAGAACTGATGCATAAATCACAGCTATATGAATGTAATTAACTATGTTATTAAAAGTTGGTTTTAATTTGATTAAAATATTATTGTTGTAGAAACTATAAAAAAACTTAAAGTTCAAGGTTTTAAGCCTGGCAATTGGAGTCGAACAAATTTTTATTTCCTTATATAATTAAGGAAATAAAAATTCGAATATTTCCTAAGATAGTGTGTACTAGGGGTGTGTTCACTCTCTTAATTATGTTAAATAGTCAATACTACAACTTTTTAATAAACATCAACATATGTATATGTGTTATATTGTGTTTTGATAGGTTCATTATAAAACTTCTCAGACCAATCAATATATTTATGGATATGTTATTTTATTTATATTTTTATTTACACTTTATTTTTTATAAATTTTGTTTATTTTATTTTAATTTAATTTAATTTTATTTTTATTTATTATAATTTTTTATTTATATATGTTATTTATATACATTTCTATTTATATCATTACATTTTCAAAAGGCATAATCAACTTATGTCATTAAACCTATTTTTTTTTATTTCTTTTAATTATACTGCAATAGCATAGCTGTAAAAACTTAATAAAAATTTATTATTTAATTACGAAAACTGATTACACCACTTCACGCCCACACAATTAAATATAAAGCAATAAAAGGCAATCAAACTGACAGATGAGTACGGCGTTGGAAGCAATTAGTGATCTATAAGGCAATTATCAGGGCAATTTATTTGTCATCGACGTTAATGGAATTCAATCTTTTACAGCTAAATTATGTATTTAAAGATAATTTAATTATATAAATAAAAGTTGTAGATAATATAGTGATTGATAGTACAAATAAAAATGGCAACACTAGCAAAACGGCAAAATGAAAGAAATAAAATACATAATCTATAATTATAATGGAAATAATATATGAAATAAATTTTAATATTTTATAACTTTCTAAGATTAATTAAAATATGAGCACGGCATACTTGATTTGCATACATCTAGCAGCGTCTATATCATGCTTAAGTGACTGAGCTACAAATTATTTAATTCTGGTTTAGTCTTAATAATATTATTAATGGCTATATGGCGATATGTTTCAACCTAATATCCAAAACAATGCACGGAAAATATCATCTGTTTTTATCAACATTTACAAATATTGATATAAATGTTTGATTCCTTAGTAAAAAAGTGAAGTTAAAAATTAAAAAATACCATAGATATATTTAAGTAATCCAAAAAATTTATATATAGGAATGTCAATAAAAAGTTAAAATTTTTCCCATAGAGAAACATTTTTTTTTTGTAACCCCAGGCATGTGTCTTAATTCTTACTATTCCTAATAACAACTGTGCCTAACTTGCAATAATAATTATTTTGAGCTACAAATCACTTAATTCTGGTTTATTTTAAATAATATCCAAAACAATATACGGAAAATATCATCATTTGTTTTCATCAACATTTACGAATAGTGATGAAAATTTTTGAATTCTTATTAAAAAAGTGAAGCTAAAAATTAAAAAATAGATATAGTCAAGTAATCCAAAAAATTTATATATAGGAATGTCAATAAAAAGTTAAAATTTTTTCAAAGAGAAACATTTTTTTTGTAACCCCAGGCATGTGTCTTAATTCTTGCTATTCCTAATAACAACTGTGCCTAACTTGAAATAATAATTATTTAGAGCTACAAATCACTTAATTCTGATTTATTCTAAATAATATCCAAAACAATATACGGACAATATCATCATCTGTTTTCAACAACATTTACGAATAGTGATGAAAATTTTTGTTTCCTTATTAAAAAAGTGAAGCTAAAAATTAAAAAATAGATATAGTCAAGTAATCCGAAAAAGTTATATATAGAAATGTCAATAAAAAGTTAAAATTTTTCCCATAGAGAAACATTTTTTTCGTAACTCCAGGCATGTGTCTTAATTCTTACTATTCCTAATAACAAGTGTGCCTAACTTGCAATAATAATTATTTTGAGCTACAAATCACTTAATTCTGGTTTATTCTAAATAATATCCAAAACAATATACGGAAAATATCATCATTTGTTTTCATCAACATTTACGAATACTGATAAAAATTTTTGATTCCTTATTAAAAAAGTGAAGCTAAAAATTAAAAAATAGATATAGTCAAGTAATCCGAAAAAGTTATAAATAATAATGTCAATAAAAAGTTAAAACTTTTTCAAAGAGAAACATTTTTTTCGTAATTCCAGGCAAGTGTTTTAATTCTTACTATTCCTGATAACAACAACTGTGCGTACCTTGCAATAATAATTCTTTAAGTTCAAAAATTGCATTAAGAGTCGTGGACATGGACGAAGAAAAGTTTGAGAACAACTTTGAAAGGGTAATGCAAATCCTAGCTGAGACACAGAAGTTGGCGAGTAGTCTAGGATTGGCAGGTTGTACAATATTATTAAAATATTATAAATTTTAGCAATAAAAGAGTTTTACAGAGCAAAAAGATCCAAAGACATATCTTGAGATGGGCGAGGAGTTGTGCAACATTCGGCACAACTTTAATGTAAAAAAAGAGATTTATAAAGCAGCTGCGAAAGAAAAAACACTTGAAGGCTATGACCAAGCTCTTCACAAAGGCTTGTCGATGCCCCAAAAGGCATTTGATCCAAAAAACACAATTGAATACAAAAAACTTGAAGCTGCAATGGTTCCTGATGAAGAAGAAGTTGATAGTGACGTAGTTGTTAAAGTAGGACTAAACAAGTTTGATCCCATAACTAAAAAACAAATGGTGAATCCAGTAAAGTCTATAATTTGCGGGCATCATTATGAAAAAGAAAGTATAATGGCAATGTTAAAAAATCGGGAGAATGCCCAGAAAATGTAAGTCACATACAACATTAATTCAATACTAAGAATAGTACAAAAATAATTGTATTCTTTTTCAGCTGTAAGTGCCCAGTTGCTGGTTGTATAAATAATAATTTGCAACTAAATGAATTAGAAGATGATCCAGATTTTAAAGCTCAAATACAGAGTGACGAGGATGAAGATTGAGTACAACAGTCTTTCGTATAAAAACGTATAATTCATTCTAATTTTTCATCTAATTTTTCATTTTTTTTCAAGATTATAATATTTTAGCTAACTAAATATGTTTTGCTAATAAATTAATATGTATAATAATTTGTTTGCATTATGTGTATATTGAGACGTTCGACGGACTAAATGGTAGTCCATATATAGATATTTCTTTTACTTTGATGATTTTTGGTTCTAAGATTTGTTGCAATGATATTTAAATTAATCTATTTCAAATATTATTTCACACAATATTAGGTGTACCGATATGAAATGAGCGTTTTTTGGTGAAAATAAAACACTAATTATTAATAGGAAAGTAAAAAACATTTTATTCAAAGTATTGGCCATTGCTTTCTACACATTTTGACCACCTTTCTGGCAATTTGTGAATGCCACGCTAAAAAAATTGTTCGTCTTTTAAAGCAAACCAACCAGACACCCAATTTTCGACCTCCTCGTAGGAATCAAAGTGCTGCTCAGCCAATGCGTGCTACCCCACGGCGGGTAGGGTAGCAGCTCCCAGCCAAGTGTTTTGATTGCATCCTGAACCCGTTTTGCTTTGTGTGCAGGTGCATTGTCATGGAGCAGAATTACCTTGCCGTGTCTTCTGGCCCATTCTGGTCATTTCTCGATCAATGCATCTTTACGCTTACTTCATACCGGTACACCTGGTATACTTTTTTCATATTCATTCCGCTTTTTTTCCTTCCTTTTTTTTTTTTATAAAAAAAATAAATTTATTTCAAATTTATTTATTTTTTTATATAAAAACATGATTAGAAATCGAAATAGAGTCTGGAAAGTTGCTCAAATAACAGGTGACCCGGAGAGCAAAAGGGAGGCCAACCGTCTTTTAAATGAAATTAGCATTTGAATTATATTATGTATTATATTCTGTACAATTAATTGAGCTATATATATATGTATATATATATATATATATATATATGAATTCCTATATAAATTAGATTGTATGAATTGTATTTGCTTTCTTTTTTTTATTTACATATTTTGGAAGGAATAATTGTAAATATAATATATTAGCTAAGCTAAATATATTTGTTTGTGGAAATATTCCTCTTTGGCATAATAATTGAGAATATATATAATATATATATTACATTAGTTAGATATATAGTATGTTTGTTTTTTTTCCCTTTTTCTCCCTTTTTGTAAATATTTATTTGATAAAAGATTTAAAATTGATTTTTTTTGTTACGAACATAGCCAGGTACAGCAGAGGAGCGATGACGTCGTCACTACAGCTGCGGTGAGTACGATTGAGCCTATTTACACTATCGTTAACATGAACTTAAAAACCAATTGCTTGTAGATGAGAGAGGGAAGAGGGTGTGATGTGAGTTCATAAGTTTCACGTAATGAAATTTGCTGCGTTTCTTCAGCTTGACGCGCATACATATGCAATGTTATGTTTTTGTTTACCTTTTAATGCTGAATACATGAATTTTTTTTGAATTTTAATGAATTTTTGCGCACTGCACTACTACACGCAAACATTTTATACGTTTACACAAAACAAAACAAATTTCACGCTCATGAGAGTTTATGACAGTGTAAACTGAGTTGACAGTTCGTGTTGTCGTCAAGTTCATCTCACGCTCATGATAGTGTAAATAGGCCCATTGGTTTTTTTTTGTTTTCGGTATCATTAAAGAAGTGAATATTCTGCGGAGGGAAATACACACAAAAAAAAAAATAAAACTAAAACGACCAATTTTTCTTAAATAAATTTTATATATGTATATATTTTTGTTATTAAAGCTTTTTTTAAAAAAAAAAAAAACGATATAAATCATAACTCTCAATAAAAAACAAAATCAATGCAAAATGCAAAAATATATTCTTTAAATTTTCTTTTCACTTAAAAAAAAGTGTTAAATGAGCAGTCTTTAAAATATTTAAACCTTATAATTTAAAATTAATTTTTTTTATATTATAATATGTAACACACGATCAAGTATATCTATAGCCCTTTTTAGAAACTATCAAAAATTAATAAATATTTAAATTTGAAAAAAGTCTTTTTAATTTTTTATTAAAAAATATTTAATAAAATTTATGATAATAAATTTTAATAAAAAAAAAACTTTCACGGCAAAAGTAACAAAACTTCAGAAAAATATGCGAACATAAAAAGTTAAGTACGGCTTTGGATCAGTTGGTTAAGGTGCGCTGATTCTGAGCTTCACATTTGGCAGGACCCGACCTGGTACTTGCAGTCTCAAAAATAATTATTTACGAATAATTAAACACTAGAATTATTGCCAAGACCACTGATGATCGGTATTTGGCAATACTCGAAACAGCTGTATGGTCAGTCAAAAATTCAATTAATTAAAATAATATAAAAAAATAAAATTTTTGTTGTTGTAGTTCACTACTGTTTGAAAAACCCTCTTTATAAAATTTATGATTGAATACAACCAATGTTTGTTATAAAACAAAAAAATATTGATAATATAATATATAAATATTGATATATAAATATTGAAATATAATATAATATATAATATTGATATAATAATATATAGTCCACAAAAAAAAATTTAAAATAAAATAATTTTTGGTTATTAAGAGAAATAGATTTTTGAAACCCTCGAACACTCGAACCCCCAAGGAATACGATACAGGGGCAGACCAAAAATGAACTGGAGGAAAACAATACTTCACTAAACTGGCAAAACGTTTAACGAATTTAGACAAATTAAGCACGAAACAGATAATGTTGGAAATTTTTTGTTGAGTTTTTTAACTCCTAATGGATTTAAAAAAAAAATGCACTTTCATAATTGAGAATGGATTGTTCAGAGACGCAGCTATTTTGAGGAACTTTTTTCTTTGCGCTGTATGTCAATATAGCTTAGTTCGTCAATATAGCAAAGTTGTACAAACAAAACCATAGACTAGATGACGCTTCTATTTCTATATTGGTAGTTTTGTCTTTTTGAGAACTAAGCTTTATTGACATACAATATATATTATATAGGTTACGTTACTGAGTTTCGTTATCAGATGGACGTGTTTGGGAAATTGGAATCGTGTTAATTATTATATTAATAATAAATTTTTGTAATTTTTATTTTAATTTTAAAAGTTTTGTTTATTTTTATTATTACTTAAGTTTTGTCTTGTAATTTTGCAATTTGTATGGGCTTGTATGGGCACTTCAGCTTTATGCGGAATTAGCACGGAAAATGAAATTTAATATCTCAAAGGTAAGCGTGAAAGAAAAAAAGTACATGAATGGATGAGAAAATGTTGAAATACTTTTGATTTGTTTCAAATTCGCCTGCTGAAAACAATCTTTTTGACCGATTATTTATAGAAAGCAACGCTTTTGGCTTTGGCTTGGCTTGGCTTAACTTTGGCTACGGCCGTTGATCTTGGTCTTTCAAACGAATTTGATGCTAATGATCATGATTGCGATTACGATTATTATGGAGACCATGATAATGATTATGATTATGTATTTATGCTGACGATGTCGTTGCCTAGAGGGCTTTTACAGTCTGCGGTCAATCTTGATACAATTGTCGTTATTAATTTGATTAAAATTTTTATTTGAAATTAAAATTTTGCTGATTTGCTTTCACTTTCAATCCCTAACAATTCGCATTGTTGAATAAAATCAATTTTTAATTTCAATTTTAATTTTTAAGTATTTCGATTGTGGGAAAAAAATTTTTTGTAATTTTTTTGAGAATAGAAAGATATACAAAAATAATTTTTAATTATTAAAACAAATTAAAATTAATTACAAACTTTAAACAATTTTTAAAATATGTTATTAACTTGTCCCTTATTTATACCAGGCCTTGTCCTAAACTGAAAACGTAACCATCCAAAGGATTGCAGAGGATACAATAGAACTAGTAGTTATTGAAATTTCTATTTAAAATGATAAAATAGACTAAATAATGTATTATTATGAATGTGAAAATGGTACAGTAATAAGTTTCACTCTGGAACACTGTTCACTCAGAATAGGTTAAATTGCTTTGAAGAGATTCGGTTTATAAAGTTTTATCCAGTGGAGAGACAGTGTTCGAAGAGACGTAGTCTTATCCGTTATGAGAATTTTAACTGTATATAAAAAAAAAAGTTATTAAAACTAATCATTTTGGTGAAGAAATTTATAAAAATAGTAAAGTACAACAAAAAATTCTTTTTATATTATTTTAATTAATTGAATTTTTGGCTGACCATACAGCTGTTTTCGATAATTTAGTAAATTAAGAACCGAAAATGTCGAAAAATTTTAAAATTTATCTACTTCAGTTCTATTAGAGGCAAAAAAGCCTAAAGCAAAAAAATAACAAACAAGCCAGCCCTGAAAAAATTCTTTAATAATAGTAGACCCTACAAAGATGACGAGCACATAAACCGCACGCATTCGAGAGATCTGGAACATTTGCGAATTCTCAAGATATTTAGCAGTGAAAACTATAAGCTTAATACTCAGAAAAGTAGATCTAAGCTAGTGAAAAATTTTAAGGGTCATGTTAATTATCTTAGAATAATAGTGGAAAATTCAGTGGAATGGAAATTAATTGAAAGTGTTCGAGAGAAAAGTTCTTCATAAGAATCTTCGGTCCTCTACGACTACCGCATCCATATAAACCACGAGCTGTACGAAGTTTATCAGGACATTGAAAGAATTCAGCGAACTCACATCACATGGCTGGTTTGGTTTATGTCTTGAGAATGAATGAAGATGCTCCAACAAAAAAGGAGAAAAAAGACGTAGAGGTGACTGTCACTCTGGACGAGTAATCAAGTTGAGGGAGCACTAATCTGACTTAATGTATGAGACTGCAGAAGGTGTATAGGCAGCAGAGGCGATTGGAGACATATGTTGCGTCGGGCTGAAACTCGTTAACGGGTTATTATGGTCCAGTAAATGAAATGAATTGAAATTACGTCTCTCTACCAACTTTGCAATAATTTTGGTGTCATAAATCGTAAGATGATCTAAGATATATTAATATAGATTGTAGTTCTCGAAAAATTATTCTATTTATAATAGTCTTTAAAACAAATCTTGAAGAAGAAATAGAGTTTAAGTTTTACAATCAACAAAGTAGTTCGACAAGATTGTGTACTATGGTCTCTACTCTTTTTCGTTGAACTAGGCATATCAGTGAAAAAATTAAAAATGTGGAAGTCATCTACGAAATATAGACTAATGATATTTTTTCTTACACTCACAGTCTTGACCAGGAAAAAAGTGCAAACTGCACATTTCTCTTATATACCCGCATAATCGCATTAAAAACAAAAAGGTAGTGTTACAAAGTACCAAGATAATCACAGTTAATCATAGTCCCAATTTTAAGCTCCATTTAAAGACACGTTTTTTAACTTTTCCATAGTTTTGTAGAATTATATAAATGTCATCATAAATGTCCTGGTCATAGGGACATCTTGGACAATTGTACGCTCTTCTCCCTGACATTCACTTCTAAGATATTGATGTTCCACTTACAATAGTAAAGCTGGCAATTAAACAAATACACCTAAACAAAGTCAAGCAACACTGGGCTAATGAACCCTGTTGTCAGAGCTCTAGGTTGACTTGGTCTGGACAAAAACAAAAAAAAAATATGCCAGTTAACTTTTTGTGACTCCTAGCACGAGGAGAAACTTGTGTTATATCTCATGTATCAGTGCCTATCTTGGAAGCTTATTTTCTTAATGATTTGTCTGACCTATCAACCTGCAATATTCGGGACTTTGCCAGAGTCAGAGAATTATCAAGTTGGTTTACATTTGATCCAGATCCAAACCTGTATAAACAACCATGTTCAAATAAAATAGTGAAATTGATTTAATCAAATAAGGTGCAATATTGTGTTAACAATCTGACACACCTGCCCGAGTTTCAAATTGACAGAATTCAACGCCCAAGAGTTTTGACCTAACACATATAAAAAAATAAAAATAGATTTCAAAAGCTGTTAATGGTTAATATTTTTTATTAAATAAATAAAAAAATTTAAATTTATTAAATAGAGTAAAATATCTCACTCTTTGACTTCGAAGCATTAAACTGTGAATGGACTACCATAACTGTGGCCAAACAATTTTATACACGAGTACTCTTTTTGAGTCCAAATATATAAAATAACTAAGTACCTACCTTTCAAAGGAGTCTTTACCGATGTCTTAACATCCAAGCGTCGTGTGAGCACATTTTTCTTGATCAATGGTGAAGCTTTGGTGCCTGCATTTGTGCCTGGTGCCTGTAGAGTATTGGGGCTCAAACGTTTTTCTGCAATAAAAAAATTTTATAAAATTAATATATTTAAAAACAAAATAAAATTGTTGCATATTTTTAGACAGCCATGAAAATAAATTCACAATTATAGCAAAATGTTTATAACATTTGAAAGGCTTGTTGATTATTGTTTATTGTTTATAAATTGCATTTGAACTATAAACACAATTTTAATAATTCTTGACAAGCTATAAGTATTTAATTATATAAAAGAATTTTTATTAAATATTATTAAATGCAAAAAAAAAATACACTTTATAACTTATGAAATGAAATAAATCAGATAATAGAAAAGTCGCTAGGAAAAATATTATATGAGATTTTTAATTTGCAATTATTACTTCAGTCACTAGTATTTATCCGATTACATTTATATATATTTATATTTTTTGAATGGACTTATATGAATGGAACCATGAATAGCAAAGAATACAATGACAACAACCTTGATAGGGTAAACTTTATTGTATATTATTTATATATTGTTTTGCATTTTAATTATTATTTATTATTTATTGTTTAAAACTGAATTTGTAAACAAATTTCAGTACAAATAACCACCATATATATTTTCAAGATCAGTTGTAATAAATCTCCGCCCTGAGAAAGAATTCAAACAAACTTCGAAACGTCTGCGAAATATATATAGAGATCTAAAACAAAAAAAAAATTATAACTAATTTACAAGCTTTTATTTTATTCAAATAAGTCCTTTCAAAAACAAAATTTTTAAATATTTAAAAATTTTTATTTTATTTAATTTTTATATTTTACTACTGTCGTAATATTCTAGGTAAGCATTACTACAAATAAGTGACTGTAGGATATATATTTCATTACAATTTTAATAACAATTTCTTTTACAAACATATATTCCACCTAAGCTTATTGTTGAGTTGTCTGATAGAACAACTTAACTCTCACAATCATCTAAGCAAAAGGGATCTGTCCGAGAATACAGAATATTGTTTATGACCGGAGGACGATAAGACATTTCACATACTTTTTGACTATTAGACTTTGTTCTAGACTTATGGAATTGTTATATGGAGACAGTTTCTATTCACATTTGATATCAAACATTTCTTAACAAAACAAATTTCGTAAGGTATAAAGCCTTTACTGTGCGCTGCAAATAGAAGCCTAAATCTCAAGTATTTTTATAGATTTATAAACTGACTTCATAATTTTAAAGTCGGTTTGGTTTTTTTAAGCATTTGATATATTTTAAAAGTGATGCCAATTTTTTTCAACCAGACTTTGTGTAGTTTTCTTACAACTCTGAAAGAAAAAATTGCTGCTCTATTAGCATATTTGATATACTCTTCCTACACTACACTATATGTAAAAGTGTAAGCAAACAATCCTAACTATCTATCTTAAGCCTAGTGATTATTGAATATATTTATCCGAAATATTGCTTAAATATTTAATTAAACACATGTATATAATATATAAAATAAACATAAAGCGAAACTATTATCAATTTAAAGTATCTAAAATATATTACAATTCAGTATTGTTAATATATATTTACAGTTTTTTATTAGCTTGTAAGCTAATTTTTTAAATAAATTAACTATAAAAATCTATTTAAAAAATTTCTAATGGCAATAATAGGAAACCAAATGTTTTTTTTATTTCTTTATAACAAAAATCTATAAAAAAAAGCTTTAAATGTGTAAATAAAATTAATGGTAAGCATTTAATTTTATTTTCGGTATATTTTTTATTATTATTGAAGGGAAAGAAAATAATATAAACAATTTTATTTAGAAAACTTGCATCAGAACTAGAATCAGAAAACCTCAAAACCGCAAATGTTGAAATATATTCAAGATAGTCGGAAAAAATAATTAATAAACTCGAAAATAATTATTTTTACAGGTTTCTCTTTCAATTATTTGCTCAACAGAAATAGATATTAACTAAGATAACTTAAAATAATGATTTATAAACCACTATATATATATGCATATATACGAATCAAAAGCAATTGCTACATCAGTTAATAATTACTTCGAGTGCTTGTAAATACAGTTTCGAGAAAACCAGTAGAGAGCGCCAGTAATTTGATGTCACATTTATTTTTAATACACAATTTATTTCAAATATTTATTTTCAAATTTTAAACAAAATTTATTGTTTTTCTGTAAAAATTAAAATAGTAGATATTTTAACAACGGAAATCAAAGCAGATTTCAATATTGTTCAAAGGTAATCTTCATCGGGTAATTTTCAATTCTTAGATAAAAAAATTTAAGAATTAAAAATATAAAATATTAATTAAGAAACTGATATATAACTAAATAATTCGTTCGATACTTCTAAACGGATGTGTAGTGTTTAGCAAAGCTTCAAACACTACTATTCGCCAGCTAGAAATTACACAAAGCCAGGCTCTGAGAAGACTTTTCAAAGTTCCATGGTACATTAGGACGAATGACATCCTCAGGGACCTCAAGATTGATTCCATCAAAAAATACATAAAGTATTGAGTCCTGAAGTTATTTACGAAAACTTACAGACTTACCAACACCGCGTTATCAAATCTCAGAATGGTTACAGCCTCCTCGGAGAGGTATTCAGATCTGAGGTCAATTATTGCTTAGTCTGATGAAGTGATAAACAATAATTCAGTCAAGAGCGTTAAGAGCGTTTGAAAAAGAGTAAAACTGCTCAAATGCACTGGCTCAAATAGCTTCAACATAAATATAATTAATTAATTTAATTATTCTATAGTTGGTTTATGATTTCGTTCTAATATAAACACACGAAGTGAATTTGGTAATACAAATTTGTGCGAAATATGCGAACATAAAAGTCAAGTACGGATTTGAGTCAGTTGGTTGAGAAGCGCTGACTCTGACCTTCAAATTTGGCAGGACACACGTTTGATTTCTGATACTTACAGTCTCAAAAAATTATTTACAAATAATTAAATACAAAAATTATCTCCAAAACCACTGATGATGGTATGGGTATTTGGCAACACTCAAAACAGCTGTATGATGACCAAAAAATTGATTTAATTAAAATAATATAAAAAAGAATATTTGTTGTTGTACTTCACTACTTTTCGAAAAACTCTAGATAAATAAACTTTGAAGTCATTGTAAATCCACTTATAACATACCTCATTCGTACGTCATTCGTTATGAATGTGGGTATTTTAAGTTGCTCCATAGAACAAACGCCAATATTTTATGATAATCCAAGCAGTTTATTTCAGATAACAAGAAAAATATTGAAGATTTTTTCAGTACAAAATAGATTTGAACTCAGATTAATCATTATGTTATGTCAAAATATCGCAATAAACCGTGAAATCTATATTTGGTAGTGTAAACGCTCATTACTGCAAATTTCCTTTCCATTAGAAAAGATTTTAGCTCACTGTCTAATCGCTGTCACTGTCTATCCTCTTATTCACATCATTTGTGTTATTGTCATATCACTTCTCTTCCCCTTCAATTTAAGATTGAACCACAAATTAGGTTGACTTCCCAGAAACTTTCGTCTCTCCAACTGATTATCTCTCCAACTGATTAAGTGGCATTTTAATGATTTAGTTGCTACCTTCTTTGAAACCGACATTATCAATAGATTCATTTTATTTTACATTTTATTCCATAAATGTAACTGCTTTCAATGGAATAGAATAGAATTCATATTTAATATCCAAATGGTAAATATAATAATAATAATACAATAATATTCTATGAGTATCATTTCAACAGCGAATTCATTTAAGCTTAAGTGCGTCTGTATATTGGGTGAGTATAAGCAGTTATACCGAAATATCTTGAAACCATAAGGTAAGATACGTCATCTTATATTGCTATGTTCACATTTTGATGGCTCTAAGCCATCTTGGAGGATTAAATTGTCTACTTTTTCATTTCCTTAAATGGACATAGGATACAGGAACTCAAATGCCTCTCAGTATTTGTCTCAATTTTAAATTTTGTTTGCATTTATAATATAATTTCAATATAAATGTATGGAAAATATTTAATAATAAATTCCTTATAATTTTCTGTACTTCTAAGAGAAAATTATATTAGACAAAACTAAAGCAAATGGTAATTTTTTTTTTTATTCCAAAATTATTAATGAACACACCTGCCGTTTGAATTAAATTTGGCCTTTGTTAATGAAAAAAAATATTAAAAATAATAATTTTTATAAAAAACAAAAACACATTAAAAACCATAAACAAATAATTTTCCATTAACTTATCAGACACGAACAATTAACACTCAATCATAAGCACTAAAATTCACAAAGCGATCAACAACTACTCCAACAACAACTACCACCACAACAACAACAAAGAGGGTTAAGTGAATTGACCAAAAATATTAACAAGAACTGAAAACAGTCCTCGTGTTTGAAGAGAAGAGGAGATCGCTGGGAAGCAACTATACATGCCACCATTCGAAAAATATGTAAAATATGTGTTAAACTTATATTGACCAGTTGCCTGCCTGATCACTTACAAATTTATCTGCTCATTTTACTGATTTCATTACAGATATGCAAAGATGCAAGTTACATTCTTAAAAACAAGAAAAAAGTAAAAAAAAAACTAAAGAAGAAATAATAACAGAGCTCATAAGACTTCAAAGGCATACATAAAAAACTGTTCTTAAAGTAACATAAGCTAATGTTTAAAATAATGAAACACATGTTGCTTGGTAAACAACAACATCTCAACAACAATAGCAACATGTTATTAAGTACGCGCAACTCACAGCAACAATATTAATAAGAATTATACAAACACCTGTTATCTGATATGACAGAGGAGCAGAAGCTGTTGTACAACATGAAAATTAAACATAATACACAACAACAACGACAACAACAACAACATAAAGCAACAACATAAAGCAATGTATGTTTTATATACAAAACTTCACTCCAATTAAAAGGAAGCAAACAGAAAAAGTACAACAAATTCAAAGAATGCGAATGATAATAAATGTTGT